TTAATACTCATAAAACCCTTTCAAACTTCTCATTGATGTGACCTGAAGGTGACCTGGATCTTTGTAGTGGTTGGCTTTGCGAGCCTCCTTGGATTAAATTGATGGAGAGCAGAAATCTGTGAAGGAGAATGACTACCCTGAGCCAGAAATTCAGAGGTGATTTTCTTGGGGAAGCAAAATATGTTACCCAATTTGACCAGAGGCTCCCTATACTTTATTATATGACCTTATAAATTTGCTATTTGTTCTTTCCTGTTGTTTCTGTTTGCTTTCTGTTTAAATAACAGTAATCTTTAATTAATAATGAAAATATATATCAATAATAATAATAACCCTTAATACAAATAATAGCAATTGTTAAACATTTTGACATCATTTGCCAGGCAACTTGCACCTAGGAGCATCAGCAGAATCATCTGAGAAGTTCAGAGCTGCTGACACTCATGTTTTAAAAAGTGCTGGAACATCTGGGGAATAATCTTGGTGAATCTGGAAACAGCCACCTAAATGCTGACTCTGTGTGAAAATGAGCAAATTGAATCATCTGGGTAATTTCACAATAATGTTAATCCCAAGCAGCATTAATGGTATTGCTGTTGACAGAGAATTGGAGAAAGGCAGCATCATTATCGCTGATTCCGTGTTGATGTATGGAATATATATGAATATATATATTTTTTTCAGAAGCTCTGTCTGCTAGTCTGTAGTGGTAGGAACCAGATTTTAGGAAATGATGGTGTGAAACTGGGGTCATGCAGCTTTCCTTTCTCCCTGCTTCCTCCCAAGACCATTTTCCATCAGAGGCGCCAGGAAATGATCCCGTGGGTGAAACTGCTTTACTTGGCATGTTTAAATGTGTACATTGAGCTGCTGGGGGAGTAGCAAGGCTGCGAAGGGGCGTGCTTGGCTGTGATGATTGTTAAAACAGCAGACGTACAAACCTGGCCTCAGGGGGTGTCAAAGGAGAGCCCAGAGGAATGTTTTTATGGCCTGTCTTGTTGGTGGCTCCCAGGTAAAGGTCACTAGTTACCTCCTGCCCTGCTGGGAGAAATCATTAGCTCAAAATTGTCTGTCCTCTACAGATTGAGACCTTTCTCTGCCATCTAGGCCAGGTCTTCTCTGGAGTTGTTTGGTAAACTCAGCTGTTAGAAAAGGTTTTGAGCCATCCACGTAGGAGTGGAAGACATGGGGGAGATTTCTGCATGACACCACCAAGGGTCTGTGCGTCTCAACCAGTCCTGGCTAAGCCTGGTTATCAGTTCCTGGGGTTGACTTGACGGTCCGACCGTCAAGTCAGGATGCCTTGGAAGCAAATGGTTGGAATTCAGATTTTGTTCTCCACAAAACAGAATTTGCCTCCTGGCAGGTGTTAGCGTGTTTGGGCTCTCTCCTCGCAGAGATGAAAGCTCCTCTTTGGCCCTGTGGGGATCATGCGTCAGTGCTGCTAATTATAATCCCCAGCTTGTTGCTGCAAGAAGTGTCAGCTTCTTGCTAAATCCCAGTGCGCTGTGTTCTGCGGATTACGTGTCACCACGGTGGATATCGGGAATGGGATTGTCTTTCACGGCGTGGCTTTCCCATCGGTGCTGTTCTTTGACTCCTAGTGTGGTTATCAATGCTTGGAAGAAAGAGAAAAGACTTTGGGGGCTTTTTTCATTAATGGTATGGACAAAGTAGTGACAAGGTGGCCGGGTCTGCTACGTTGGGCACTGGTGGAAATTGCTTAGTGGGGCTTTCCCTTGCATGTACCTCTGGGGATGCTCCCTTGTTGAAGGCGATGAATCTTGTTGCATCAAGAGCAGCTTGGTTAATGCTTCCAGCTGAACCAAATGGGAAAACACTTGAGTGTATGGAAAAACCAGCAACGATCCAACCTATTTTGCAATATAACCTTAGAGGGAAAGCGTGTCCCGCGCGCTGAGGAGGAGCCCGGAGAGTTGTCCATCCGCGGGCCCTCCAGGGATGAGGAGCATCCCGGTGATGGGAACAGTTGTGTGTAGTGGACACCGAGTCTCTGCTGGGCTTGTGCTTTGGGGCTGCCCACCCAGGACACGTCCTCAGTGGCTGCGTCAGGCTTGGGCAATAACGCTGCTCCTTCGAAAAAAAAAGAAAAGCTAGAAAAGCTGAATGACTGAACGTGAATCATCACTGACGTGTGTGTGTTTTTTCAGGGAAATAGCCAGTGTTCCCTGGGGGCTTGCTGAATAAGCACTTGCTTATTTTATTTTATTTTATTTTATTTTATTTTATTTTATTTTATTTTATTTTATTTTATTTTATTTTATTTTATTTTATTTTATTTTATTTTATTNTTATTTTATTTTATTTTATTTTATTTTATTTTATTTTATTTTATTTTATTTTATTTTATTTTATTTTATTTTATTTTATTTTATTTTATTTTATGTAGGGAGGTGTCTGCTAGTAGAGGAGGCTCTTCCTGCTTTCCCCAGCCGCGGAGCCATCAGTTGCAGAACAGGCAAAGCTGAGCGTTAGCTGTGATTCCAGCCTTCCTTGTGTCTGTTTAATCAGTTCCTGCCACCAGGTTTCCAAATATCGTTATCCTGCTTGGACTGGAATAAACTTGGTTGATAGCTGTTATCTTTATGAGGATTTGGGCTTTTACAAGCAAATAATTATGATTTCCAATGGGTAGGAGAAGGGAATACAGAGAGAGATCTGCCTGACTTCTTGTGAAGAATCACTTGAATTCCACTATCGTACTTACATGTTTTGATTTATGACGTTTTGGATTTTCTATCACTTCCACTTCAATTGTTGGACTATTAAGTATTTTAAATTACATTGTTTTCCATATTTCCAAGTCTTAATTTTATTCTTGAGGCTTAAAATTGCTGCAGATACTTGATAATTGTTCCTAAGAAAAGCTACTTTAAGTGAATTTAAGAAAGCAGAGTAGCATTTTTTTGCCTGATCAGCATTGTGCTTTGGAAGGAAACAGCAGTAAATAAATTCCAGATTAGTTAAGACTCAGCACACAGGATAGTGTCATCTGATAAGTGTTGCCTTTGGCTCTTGTCTGGAGTAGCTGTAACCCTTGGTTTGTACTGCTTGTTGTGGTGGTAAATGTTAAACGGGGATTTGAGGCTGGGATGGGATTCTCTGATGTGCTCCGCTTTGCGCTTGTTGAGATCCCTCGTATGTGCACACTATTCAGGATACAAGCTGTTCAATTAATTTCATTTAAAAGGGGAAAATGAGTTCTGCGTGATTCCAGGGGCAATTTCCAAAAACAGAAGAGGCTTCACAAAACCTGAAAGAGGTTATTAATAAATGCCTGCAGTGGAGTTTTAACTGGGAAACTGAATTTATAACACTTCACGGTTCGAGCATTCACTTAATTGAAGTTTCTGGTTGGTATGCAGGTACATGCCAGATTTGTACAAACAGTTATTGCTACAGAACAGACCAGTCGAGTATATAAATCCAGGGTGCTGGGAATGCCCTTGTTTCCTCGCTGTTGTTTCATTACTGTTTATTTGTGATAATCTGGAATGCGGCATTAGTTTAATATCGGAGAAAAACTTGTGGATAATGCTCTAACATGTCTTTTCTCTTTGTATAAGACTCCTATTAACGTAAGCAGCTCAGCAGAACTGGTGGGGCTCCAAATTGAGAAATTAGTAAGCATTTTACATAAAATGTGTTTGAATGTCTGTAGCAGCAGGAATGGGATCGTATGGACCAAGCAGCAAGTGACAGGCAGAGCCTTGGTGGCTCCCTTGGTGCATGTGCAAAGAGCTCTTGGGTGCTAGAGATCCTCAGTATTGAGAGCCGTGCCTTCAATTTTTATTTATTTTAGATTTTCTTGTTCTTGGGTTGCGTTTTATAACCCCACATCTGGGGCTGCGGAGCTCCTGAGCATCTCTATTTTTTCATTCCTTATCCTGTGATTTTTGGTGCTTCATTTTCATATCTTTGAATGCAAATGATTTTTTTTGGTAATAAGAACTCTCTAGGGATGCCAATGGTAAAGGAAGTATCTGTTACTATACTTGTAACCCACATGAATTTAATTTCCTTGCTAATTAAGTGTTATCTAGAAGTGAAGTTATAAGCTCTTCAGAAAAAGGACTTGCTTTGTTTACTTGAAATGTCAAATATTTTCAGAGATATTTTGAAACTCAACCAAAATAGAGATGAGCAAAATTGGGATTTTCTCAAAGTACCTCTGTAGTGTGTATGTGATACACTTATATGTTCTTGAGAGAATTAGATGATATCAAATAATGATATTGCTGTGTTAACTAGGTATTAGTTTACAGAAGCCATAGCAGAGCTTGAGATGAAGACTGAAAATAATTGTAGTTTATGAATTTAATTGTGGTAGGAGAATTTACATTTATTAAAATCTAAAAGTGGTTCACTGAGCTTTATATATACTTGCCTCTTTAATCTGCATGTAATTAACATTAGCTGTGTATTAGAGATTAAGAATTATCATCAGGACAAACTGGTAAGTTCTAGGTACTCAGGCAAACTCAGAGCTGTTGTTATAACTTTTTTTTTTTTTTCATATAAAAATAACTAGAGTTTGGGCAGTATTTACATTATGGCAACTTTTTTTTTTTCTCCTGTACTGAAGGAGACAGTAATTCCTGGTGTCCATTTGTTAGATTTTAGAGGTGAGGAGAGGGTTTATTCATCTTTTTTTGTCACCTAACCAAGCTGTTCTCAACAGAGATGTGGGGAGTGTTCCTAATATTGCCTTTATTCCCTAGCAAATGAAACCGCAAATATCTCAGACTTTTAAGTGCTGAGAACCAGGGACTCCTTGCATCTCTCCCTGCATTAAGTAGTGAGAGCTACTGGTACTGGATCTGAACTACCACAACTCAGATTTACCTAGAAGCTTAAAATCTAATCTCAGTTTTCTGCTTGTGTGTCCTATTTGGATAGTGGTTGTATTTAGAGAAGTACTAAATAACTCCCTTTGGTAATTCTCATTTCTAATAACTTTCTCCTTTTTCTAGGAATACATAATCCGTGTTCAGAGAGGAGTTTCACCAGAAAACAGTTGGCAGGTAACTCTTTGAAACTGTGGCCGATATAACCAGGATTTTTTTTAAAAGAATTCAAATATTGTCTCTTCAAAGGTTTTTACATTTTTGTGCTAGAGGAGGAAATACTGGTTTAGAATGAGAACTGGGAGGGTGAAGTGCTTGAATGCTTTTAGTCAAGAAATGTGAGAAAAACAGTATTGCTGCCAGTTACAGAAGGCATGTTGTCTTCTGCCATTGTGAATATTCCAGGAAAACAGGAAAATCGTGTGTCATGTTCTTGTTGGGTATTGTTATGAGCATCATTTTTAACCCCCAAATGCCTGTTTGCCTGCCCTAATGCTAAAATCACAGCCTTGCTGATGGCTGACCAGTGAAAATAGAAGTTGTAATGAAGATGCTCGTGAAATAATTTAGCTTCTAACATGGGAAAATGCTTTGTTTGCAGAGACCTCCAATAGTTTTGGAAAAACTATTTGAAGATAACATTTAGAAATTTCTTTCTGTTTGAGGTATTAAAAGCAATTCTTTGCCCTCTGGCAGTGTGGCATGAATTCAGTAGGTTTGAATTTGTACAGAGAATGGTTAAAAGAAAAAAAGAAAAAAGAGAAAAGCTTATAGATGGGAATTATGGATGGAATCTTTGAAGTGTAGAATGCTAATGAGAAGAGTAGCATGTTTCCTCAATTTTGTCTTTATGTTTTGCAGATTGTGAGGCGATACAGTGACTTTGACTTGCTTAATAATAGTTTGCAGGTAACTTTTACTCTTGATTCATAAATATAAAATGTCTGCTGAAGAAATATATTTAAAATGTTTTTGTTTCCCCTCCACCCTTAGATTGCCTCCAGGATGATTTCAGTTTTAACTCAGTGGCACCGTTTATATATAAATAGCGGAGATTGGCAGATACTGAATCTTTCCCCTCAGTACTGTGACTTGTTCTGGTTTTGTGTGTTCTTATTTGTTCCTTCTTTGATTCAAAGAAAGCCAAGCCACATACCAACCTTACAAATTCAGCATTGAAGTGCTATGTGTCTCATTATTTATATTCCTCTAAAAGCGCTTCCAGATGCTGCTTATCATGTGAGGGTTTTCCGTATCATTGAAAAGTGTTCCTTACTTAAACACTGGACTTACTGTGTGCTTTTCTTTTTCCCCCACAATTATTTCTTTTTATTTTGTGTGGGGAGCATAGAGTGGTGTTTTTTTTTTTTTTTTTTTTTCCCCTATTAGATATAGTATGATTTTAGGAGCTTAATACTGCTTCTACTTCTTTCCCTCATCATCCCCCTGCCCCTTTTTTTCTTTTTTTTTTTTTCTTTTTGACCCTTTTAATCGGCTACCTGCCTGGTGCAACTTAGTGGGCAAAAACACACATGGATGTTAAATTGTGCAATCCGAATAGGATAAGAATCAGTTGCAGCAGCCTGGAGGCTGCACAGCAGGGGGTTTAGTTTTAATTCAATAGCTGGAATAGTGTTGTGGAATTACTTATTAAATACATGGTAAAACATGGGGGCTGTTACCATGCCCTAGAAACCTCCCGCATTAGGAGCGGAATAGAGGCAATAAACAGATGTCTCCTGCTGAGAAGAAAACTAAGATTTGAGATTAGATAAATGTCCAAGGGAACACATGGAAATGAGATGGTGCTAGTTGACATAGCACAGGGTGGTCCTCGGGAGTCTTAACCATAGTCCAGTTTTGATAGAGAACATAGAGAAATAAATTGGAGGTTTTTTTTTCAAAAGAAGATGGGGTTCGTATTTTGCTGCAAGTTCCTCTTACCCATGAGGAACAGAATATGTTAAGACAGTCTGTTTGTTGCCATCTCATTTAACTTTCAAATGAGGCGGTATTAGTTTTTCTTTTTTTTTTTAATAGTAATAAGGGTAATGGGTTTTTTGACTTAAATTTAGGATTGACAGGTACTGCATGGTTAGGCCTAATGATGATATGACATAGTAGAGACAGAAAAGGCCTTTGCATTAGAGGCAGAGATGCTCAGTATAAGTAAAGACCTCAGGAATTTTTTGGACCGTAAATTAAATTTGACAGCAACTTGTAGAATGAGATAAGGAGGAATTTGAGGTCAGAGGAAGACTTTGTAGATGTGAGACGTGCAGCGCTTCTAAATTCCTTCTTCCTGGATCACTAAGCAACAACATTTCATCAAAATATGCAGGACCATGCCGTTTGTTTTAAAGTACTTAAAACTCTCAGCTTGTGTATTAAAATTGAGTGGAAAAATCAAAGCTTTTTTTTTTTTTAATAAAAAAACACTCCTATCTTCACAACCAAATGTTCCTGAAAGACAAGCCTGGGCTTTCTTTGGGGCTTAAGGGCCTGGGTTTTCCCATTCCCCGTGGCACATTTGGCTTCTGCTCGAGGCTGTTGTGCATGGACATGTAGCTGAGCTGGAATGCACCTTTCTCCTGCTAATCTGATGCAACCTGCAGATTATTAGTAAGGACTGAGAATTCCCAAGCTGGGCTGGGGCTGGGACCCTGCCAGCTGCTTGGATCAGTAAGGCGTGCACTGGGCAGCAGTGCAGAGCCCCTTGCAGGGGCTCCGGCATGTCCTCCTCCACGTTCCACTTGGTGAGTGAATGACTGCCACGGTGCTTGCAGCAAGAAAGATGATTCTGGTGGAGCATTTTATGGTGGCCCTTGCCCGGAGCTTCCTGAGAAGGTTGCAGGCTGAAGATAAGCAAGTTAAGCCCCAGGTGCTTCTGTGGTTTCAGCCCGAGCTGGGGCCCGAGCTGCTCTGGCCATGCCACGTGTTTGGGCAGAGTTGCAAAACCCTAGGGTGAATGTTAGTTTCTGCTGAGAAATACCTGTGTTTCCTTTTCTTATATAAAATATTTTTTTTATAATAAACTGGAGATCTGTGGGATGATTGCTAGCTCTCAAGTCAAGAATTTGAAGGCAAATATGATGTGATATGCTTTTCAGTGAGTAACTTTGATATCAGAGGTGCATTGTATTTTTATTTAGAAACCAACTTTTGAATCAAATGAGCGATGCTTTGCCAGACAAAAAGTTTTTTATGTCTTCCGTGTGAAAATTAAACATAGATGGTAAATGTAAGTACTGTAAATGGTTCCTGTTGCTTTTGGGCTTATTCCTGGACATTACTTTTCTTCCTTAGGAAGAGTGCTCAGCAGACAGGATGATTTGTTTCTCTTCTATAATTTGTGTTTAGTTGTAGCTCTTCTGCAGCTACAGAAGCTTGCAAGCAGACCCCAGCGAAGGGGTTGCTATTTCTGCTCCAGTCAGTTATACTAATTCCTTATGCATATGTGCAATTTTTTCTGCAACACCCATTTCTTAAAGATTATCACCAGTGAGGATGCAGCACACAGAAGGCAGGTGCTTTGATCTGCTGGACAACAGTGTGTTGACAACAGGAATAATTTATTCTGGCAATTCACATGACGCAAATGAATATAAATACTGGGTGCAACCTAGATCATGTTTAGAAAACAAACCTCTTTGATCTGACTTATGTAAAGCTCTGGATTTCGGCAGAATTTTCCACTTTCCCATGGCTAAATATTTCACTTTTTTTTTTTTTTTTTTTTTTTTTTTTTTTTTTTTTTAAGTTTTGCACCACTTAAAATAAAACAGCTACTATATACCCACTAATAGATTGCAATTGTTTCTATTGTGAAATGCATGTAGCTGTTAGAAACTGCACAGCAACAAATTTAGAAATTAAAATGGAAAAGTTGTGCCGTCTTTGAAAGTACAAGTTAAAAAACTGACAGTAAGGATTTTTGTATTACTCATAATGTCCCAGTAGGGGCAAAGGAAACATCAATTTGCACATATATTAAATAAGCATCAATTTCATCATGAGAAAATGGTGGATTTTTTTGTGGATTTTTTTTTTGTTTCTTTGTTTGTTTTTGTTTTTTTGCTATGGCAAAATTATGTCAAGAATTGCAAAGAATTTGAGATGTGCATTTAGTAGCTGAGCATTTTGTGCAGTGATCTTAAATGCATAAGTCGCTAGCAAAAAATTATCTCCTTCCATTCTTGGCTGCCTTTGCAAGTCTCTTCACATGAGGATGTGAGTTATCTGACTCCTTGCCTTGATAATAGTACCTAGAAAAAGAAAAACATAACTCTATGGTATATACAAAGTAAAAATGATTTGGTTGTTAACACACAGAAAATCCAGAGTATTACTTTGTATATACACAGAATAAAACACACAGAAAATACACGGAGTATTTTCAGGCTTGCTAGTTTACTGCCCTGAAGTATTTTGAGAACATGACTGCAAAATAATTATTTTTCCTCTCTTTTTAAGATCTCAGCTCTAAGTCTACCTCTTCCTCCAAAAAAATTGATTGGAAATATGGAGCGTGAATTCATAGCTGAAAGACAGAAAGGACTCCAGACCTATCTCGATGTAATTACCACCCATCACATACTGTCCAACTGTGAACTGGTAAAAAAGTTCTTGGATCCCAACAGCTATTCTGTAAACTACACAGGTAGGTGAGGGATTGTACAGCTGCATCACAATTTCATGTGTGCACATCTTCTGTTAGGGCTGACCAGGAGTTACACCAAGGCACAGAGAAATACCTCAAAATGATCATATTGTGTGTGTGATTATATGTGATAATATTCTTCCAGATGTGTGCACGGGTCATACTGTAGTTATCGATAGTAAATATTTTAATTATTCTACACAGACTTGATAAGAGTCAGGCTTTATTTAGGATGAACTTGGGAGAAGGCTGCTAATGAGAATAAGAAAATATCTACAGGGGTCAGGAATTGCTGTCTCCCTTAGAATGATGTCCTAGTGATCAGTTCTCTTTGTTATTGAATATTTCTTCTCTCAATTTATCCTACTTCAACTTCAACCACTAGAAATTGTTGAATTTTTGTCTGGTAGACTGCAGAACTTCCGCTAAATGATGCAATGCTACATTGCAGATTTGGTTTATAGGCAGACCAACTCTTTGCAAAATGCAAACCTTATTTTCATAAAAGCACAACCTACTAAAGCAGGAACTTACTACTTCCTTTTCACTTGTCTCTCTGCTTTCCCTTTATATAACAAATTGAAAGTGTAAAGAATATTTCCCGGATGTTTTTACAGTAAGCTGTGAAAGAGATGTAAATTATCAGTGAGTCTTAAAGAGTGGAGTTTGCTGGTTAATGCTGATCAAGCAGTTGAAATCCTCTAGGAGATAAGGTGGCTTCTGTGTTAACTCTGAGTGCTTTCTTTGGAACTCTTGTTTTCTCAGCGAGTTTTGGGGAAGTTAACAATCAAGAAGTTGCCTCTGTTCCCTGGAGATTTTTATTAATTTGTCATTATTTAATATTACAGTGGTGAGATGATATGTATTGTACCGTTCTCTCTCTTTTTCCTAGCATAGTTTTAGATAGAGAAGAGGGAGTACAGAAGAGGAAAAGTGCATTCTTAACTTTTTGCATTACTTCTAAGCCCAGATAAGAGATTTTAGAGAGATTTCTTGATGAGCATAATCACTTAATGAATATCCTGCTTGTATTTCAGCTGTGAAAGGGAAACTCAGTAACCAGAGGGTTGTCCTGTTTTTCAGAAGTGCATGTGGGATTATGACAGCAAAGTACCTTCATCTGTGCAAAATGGGGCGAAGTGGCAGGTAGCAAAACAAAGAACTGATTAGTTCATGTGTAGTAGATGCACACTGAAGTTGTATAAAAGTTACTGCTTTTACAGGTATAGTGAAAATATTTCATGACATACTATAGAGTCTACCAAGCTGTGAGCAATGGATTTGGACTTGGAAATTATATTTTAGTATAGATATAATGCAGACTCCTTAGGATAAGTTCTCCTAAGGCAATGGTTTCTGTTTTGTCAGAGGATATAAGTCCACAGGTTAAAAATGCATACACCTTTTATCTGTTTCCACCTCATTTTTTTTTAAATGTTTTTGCTGACTTTCTTAATAAAACAAAGTCTGAATTCCTGAAGTTTTCCTCCTGGCAAAGAACATTATTTAATAGGAATATAATCTAATTAAGTAGTCTCTTTTCTTTTTTTCCCTCCCCAGAAATTGCCTTACAGCATGTTTCAATGTTCTTCCGATCAGAGCCAAAGTGGGAAGTAGTAGAACCATTAAAAGATATAGGTAAGAAGAGCATGTATTTATGAAAACTTGTCGGTCTCTCCCAACTAGACCAGTTGTCCTTAGAGAAGGATACTGCCTTTGCCTACAAACCCTGTCCTGCTTGTAAGCCATGTGATTCAGTACTGTTTTAATTAAAGCTACTGATGACTTTCGTTTCAGGTTGGCGAATACGTAAGAAATATTTCTTAATGAAGATTAGGAATCAACCAAAGGAACGACTAATGTTAAGCTGGGTATGCTTTCATCTTGTCCTCAAGTCTTTTTAGTGAACTTGACTTGCTTCATATATATTAACGATCATGTTTGAATGACAGAGATGCAGATTTAAGAGCTCAGGACTTGAAAGAGTTTTGAAAGCCCTTAGGTGGATGAGTGGTGTGGGAACTACTTGTGTTTCCTTTCTCTCTTAGCAAATCCAGTTTAAAAGTTTCTCCTTGGTCATTTTCTCCCATCTTGCACCTCACTTTACTGTTTCCTTAGTGGTAATGATGATGTTGCTGCTGACCATAATATAAATCTGCCCATGGCAAAGAGCAGAGCAACCCTTTTTAAGTTACTGCTTTTTATTGTTGTCATTTTTTTGTTTCTTTTCTTTTTCTTTTTTTCTTTCTTATTAGGATCTTTAGTTTTGACAGATATATATGAATTCCTCCTTCAAGGCAGACATGTATTGCTACGAAATATTTTAATTGTTCCTAAATGCTTGTGCTTCTGTGCTGAAAAGCAAAAAAGTGTGTTACCATAGCATAGCTGTTTGTGAGGTTACTGGGGAGCTGAAATTGCTTAAACTTGGGGTAGGTTTGAGCACTTCTCCTTTAGTGGAGAGGAGGAAGGTGGGGGTTTAAGCCCCATCAGCACACAACTTCCCGGTTTTGGAGCTGGCAAAGTAATTCAGTGATGGTAATGCAGGTCAGATACTGAGAAGGGAGGAGGCAATAATACTGCCAGGTACTTTGTCTAGTGAAATCACAGCCTTATTTCAGCCTCTTAGCATTTGCTTCATGGTATATTCTTCACAAAGTGTGTATTTCCAAGCAGCTGTCTTAATTTGTGAGGGAAGAATATAGATCACCTTTTCTTTATGGTGTGTAATCTTATGAATTACGCCCTTGTGAAGCGTTTCTTTTTCTTTATTTCTAGGCTGATCTTGGCCCGGATAAATACCTGTCTGACAAAGACTTACAGTACGCTGTGAAACTTCTTTCTTCCTGTTCTGTGAGTATTATTTGAAGGATTTTAAATTGTGCCAGCACAAAGGAAAAGCTCGCAAGGGCTAACCTTGCAAAAGTACGTGCAGTCCAGTAGCAAAAGCTTGTAATTTTAGAGTTGCTTTCATTTAGAGAGCTGCAAACCTTTTAATTACGTTTCCCACACAATGAGGTAACATATTCTCAGCACAATTATTACAGGATTATTACAGGAGCTTTGGGGTTGTGGTTTATTGTATTTCGTCTTCTGGTAACTTCCTATAGCACTGTGCAATCCCAAGCTTTTATTGCAGTTCTTCAAGACTTGTAGACACCTTTGCACTCGCTTTGGATATAAACTAAGCAACTTGGCCAGTGATGGAACCCAATTAATTCATTTAAAGTTAATTCAGACAGATCTCTTCTTTGGAATCAAGCAAAAATGAATGCACAGTATCTGTCATTTGAAACAACCTAAAGTATCTTCTTCTTCTTTTGGCAGCATCCCTATATTTACAAAGTCACTTTTGCCACTGCCAGTGAATCTTCAGCACTGGTTATTAGGCCATTCAGTGAAAAAGGGACACTAAAGGACCTTATTTATAAGGTAATTTTTTTTTTTAAAGCTCAAACAGTGTAATATTTGCTGAAATGTTCGATGTCTTATTAGTTTTCATCTATTGCAAAAAACAACTTCATTTAATGCTCATGGTATTTGATACATGTCTGTTTCTTTAAAGGCAAAACCAAAAGATCCATTCTTGAAGAAGTATTGCAATCCTAAAAAAATTCAAGGTCTTGAACTTCAGCAAATAAAATCATATGGGAGACAAATATTAGAGGTATTCTTTTCTTTTTACCTTATTTACCAGCCTTTATGATTTAGGTTGGTTTTTACACTGATTCTTAGAATGCTAAAAGCATTTTATCTGTGATACTGTAAGGGCAATGACTGTAGGAAGTTTCATTTATTTGTTTTTAAGATCAATTGATTTAACTGGAAAAAGGAGACAAAATTGTGAGTACTTAAGTTTTATTTCAGTTCTAAAAGAGAAGCAACAGATTTCAAGTCTAAATTTAAATGGAGGTTAAGTGTTGGGACTTGAATTTAGATATATCTGGAAGGGGTCTCCCTTTCTGACAAGAAATCTAGTTAGATTTCCATTTCTGACAAGAAATCTAGTTAGTATCTGTGTAGCTGAGATGGGAGAGAGGTAATATATATGTATTTTTTTTCCCTGAGGCATGAAGGGGAAAGCAGTATTTGTACTGTGGAATGTGTAGGGGGTGTATTTGTTTTCCAACTATGATATTCAGTGGAATTGTGAATTTTAGATTCACGTCTCTCTGGGAGGTGATTTTAGGCCTGCTTGGAGGATTAGCACCAAATGTTTATTTTGTGAGAGGTGTTACCCATGACATGGAATGAATAGTCAGGAAAAGGTGATGGTGGCAGCTGATCCAGCTGAGCAAGGGAAACGCAGAAGCAGCCCAAAACAGGGGCCTCCTTTATTATGTGCCTACTTCAGTGTAGGAGCATCTGATATCTTGAGATCATCTTGAGTATCTCGTTACAGCCCTCCTGCTTTGTGTTTTTTTTTAAAGGTTTTAAAATTCTTGCATGAGAAAGGATTTCCCTATGGCCATCTTCACGCCGGCAATGTGATGTTGGATGGAGACACATGCAAGTTACTAGACCTAGAAAACTCCTTGCTGGGACTTCCGTCATTTTATCGATCGTACTTTTCACAGTTTCGGAAAATTAATGTAAGTTTTGAAAAATGAATTGCATTTGGTTGACTCTTATGCATCCTTATGGCTGCATCCTTATGGCTGTGGATTAGACACTTGTAAGACATCTGCCTCTTCAAAACTCTTACATTATTTTGTAGATTTTCTCCAAAACATAGGTTTGCACAGCAAAATATGACCCCACAAAATTACTAAACCTAATCTGCCCTGTTGTAGCAATGCAAACTTCTGGCCAGCATCTTGCCTTGCCTTTCAGTGCTCGTTGTAGTAAGTGGCATAAAGCATCACGAGGCAGCTGCTTGCTGACCTTGCTAAACAAGTTCTGCTGTGGCGTCAAGGAAATGATCAGAAGTTCATGGTTAGTCCAAATCTGTTGGTGCTATCAAATCTCTAAGCTTTTAAGCAGTAAGAAGAGACATTTCTGTCTGAACACGAGCCTAAAATTTAGGGAGTATCCTGCCTGGGAGCTTAGCACTTAGTTAAAGCTTGTACAGACTTGAGGAGGGGTGAAAGGGGCTCTTCTGGGCTTTTTTGGTAGGTATTTTTGTTCTCTACCTATTTACCTCTTTGTAAAGAGGTAACTGGTGATAGCATCTTGAACCTCATTCTTTGCTGTTTGACTTGCACTAGGAAAATGTGCTCTGTTGTTGTTCATATCAATATATGAAGTGCTGTATGTGAAAAGAGTTTCTCCTTGTGCATTTTTACAGAAGAAAATATACTAATATTGCTTACAGGAAGAGAACGGTAGTTTCTTTTACTTGAGGTGTGTTTTTCAAAACTTCACTGGAGCTAAAGTTGTGCAGGGGAGTAGTTGTGTTTAGGAATTATCACAGTAGAATCTCGTTCCTTCTCCAAATATGATTGTCCTTTTTTTCTTCTCATGGATTATTGCATGGTTTCAAACTGACAGGGGAAGAATATTATCTATTTTTTTAATTTTTTTTTTTGTTTGTTTCTCTGCAGACTTTAGAAGGTGTTGATGTACATTGCTTTGGACACTTACTATACGAAATGACATATGGAAGACCTCCAGATATGGTTCCTGTAGACAGCTTCCCTCCTGCACCGTCAGTGTTTGTTGGTTAGTATGCAGCCAAAAACTTTCCATCTCAGCTTCTGGGTGCTCTGCCTTTTAGCTAAGATGCTGCAAGAGATCACCCTGAAGACTTTTGCATCCTGTGGTTAGAAATGAATATTTAGTAATTTTTTAAAGATGGATGTTCTTCTTTGAATAATTGTAGCACAAAAATACAGTATTTTTTAAAACTAAGTGATAAAACATTCTCTTGTAACTATATGTGTGTCCCCTCAGGCCTCCCATCTAACAGTCTAGAGAAGTTTGTGCATGTAATAGCAACGCTGTAATAAAAACCAAATGTTACACATCTTCATCACTGCTTAATTGATGGAATGCTCAGAGGAACCCAGAGGAATCGCACAGCAGTGCCAGACCTTCGTTCTGAATTCTTTGCTGTCCTGCAGTGCAAAAATGTGTACATTCCTATGCTTTCTTTGGCAGTGTCTGTGTTGGAATCCATTCTGACCTGTGAAGCTATGAAGAATGGCATGCCAACTGTTTCACGGCTCTTACAGATGCCGTAAGTCTTAATGTACTTATTTTATGCTAACGATAATGTTTTTAATTATATTAACAGGAAAAAGATTAATGCTCTCTTTCTTTATTAGGAAGATTTGCCCCTCCGTCTGAGGGATGTATAATATATTCCAAATGAAGCTTTAAAATTATCACTTGATTGAAACTAGTCTTTGTGAATATGATATGTGTTCACTTAACTTTGTCTCCTGGTATGTTGGAGCTGTTCAGGAAGGTGCTTTTAGTGTGGTGCTATGATTTGAATTGATTCAGCTATTAAAGCAGTGCAAGCATGCTCAAAAACACTTACTGATTCTTCCAAAGCAAATAAGATAAGGGATCTTTTTGCACGTCCTCTTCAGACTTATTTCAGAAGATACTGTGTCAGTTTACTTATGACTAGTGGAATAGATCCCCTCGTGTTTGGCAGTAACTTCTAGACCAGGTTTGCGAAGGAGCTTGTATATAGATGCTGCAACTAGTTTCTAGCAGGGACAGAGCAGAGACACAATACATTTCCATACAGATTCTCCTCCCAGAGATGCTATGAAGTGATAAAGACAGGTACAGAACAAGACTAGAGTATAGAAAAGGAGCAATGTCAGTGCATGATTAGGCTGGAGAAGTTACCTTTCTGCAGTGCAGCTCATCCTGCAAGTAGGAGACAGTATGACCGTGCCTGGAGGACAGCCTGCTGTGATCATGCCACCCAGCAGGCCACAATGTTGATCTCCTGTCTGCCTTAAAATAGAATGCCAAAACTGTGACCTTTAGAATGATAGCCAGCCCCTACCTACATCTGGGCCCTTCCTTCAGACTGTAGATTGCAGTGCATTTAAAGCAGGCTCCAAATTTCATGTTTCCTGGTTGGAAAGAGTCACTGCAGTCTTGTCTTAATCTTCTCTTCCTCCTGTTCTTGCCTTCCTCTGCCCTTAAAGGAAGGAGGGGAAGATAGAACAATGTAAGCAGGGGAGAAGTACGATAAGAGATATGATAAACAAGAATTTCTAAGTGTTAAAAGATGATGACCAAGCAGTCTGTGCTCAACTGTATCTGATGTGTAGGATATTATACTACATTTGCTTTGTCTATGCTTCTTACAAAAGTATTCTAGCTAGATGCTTAATACCATTAAAGTAATTCATCTGTTTATTAAGCTATTCGATAAAAACTATGAGTCTGCTGATTCTGAAAAACGTACAGTCAGAAAATACAGAAAAACGGCCTATGAACATGAGTATTTTTTGCTTTTTAAGTCTTTGATAGTTTAATTATGTCTAATTGCTCATGGATTACTATTCTCCTGAACCATAGCTCTAGGCTTGAATTTGTTTTCTTTAGCATGGGCATGTGAACAACAGCAATAACAATCTCTGAAATATTTATCCCAGAGCCAGGCTTGAGATTTCTTTCTGGGACAGTTTTCTAGTATGTTCTCCAAAACAAAGTATCATGAAATGGACCAGCAGCCCAATTCCAGACTAACATTGCCCTCTAGTGTCTTTGTTCTGGATAGAAGAAGATTAATCATTAATCATGCTGATGCCCTAAAGAAGAGTAAAATTATTAGTGTAGTTGCTTTAGTTATCTTTGCTCACAAGACCAACAGTAGTTTGACATAGTTACCTTGTTGATTTTTCACACATTTCTTTTGAATGCTTAAATTACAATTGTGTTAAGAGAGTATCCTTAAAAAGTGCAATGATTGTTCAGGTGAAATTCAAAATAACATCCCTGATAATGTTTTGCCTTGGAAGAATCTGGATACTTTTAACAAAATGAGATACTTGTTTTGAGGAAGCTCTTTTCTGCCTTTGGTAATTATAGTTAATTCTATCAGTTTTCCAAACATTTCATGTAGTCTTAGTGACTCTTGCCATGTACAGCGGCTGCATCAGGGGGCTTAGACACTGCTCATTTTACAGCAGGACTTGGAAACTAAAAAGCCATATATAAACACCAGAGGAAAAAAAATAACTAATGGTGAGATAGGGATGAGGAGAAAGGAGCAAGAGGGAATTAGATGAACAGCACCAATTGTATTCTCTGTTTGTCTGTCTTTTGGGGATTATATTCTAATCATTTCTTCTTTTTCATCCACTTACAGATTATTCAGTGATGTCCTGCTAACAAATTCAGAGAAACCCCAGTTTAAGGTAGAGTTGAACACATGTTTTCTTTGTCTTGTTTTACAGATGTGGTGTAAGTGGCAGGCTGGGGATAACTATACATTGAATGACAGGTAGGGTAAAGGACAAGAAGCTTTATGGTGAGGTCCATCTGTAACAGGCTGGCTTTGCTGGCATGTACCAAGCAATGTCCTAACATCCTTTAAAAGCAGAGCAGGAAGACACAACATGTCCCGTGAGCAGTTCAAGTGCAGTTCCTGTGCTGGAGCGCTCTCCTTCTCTGTCCCTTATGTTGGATTAGTGGCCAGATTTGGAGGGAAAAGTGCATGTCCAAAATCCTCAGATTTCCTTCACTGATGGAACAGTGTCAGAACTTGGGACTTTAGGTAGACAATATGGTCATCTGACTAGTGAGTCCTTAAGCCGTGAAATTTGTCATGTTTTTTGCAATGATTATTTTTTTTCCCTTTCTCTTCTGTGTTAGATTCCTACTAAACTAAAAGAGGCATTGAAAGCTTCCAAGGAATGCATAGAAAAAAGATTAACAGAAGAACAGAAATTGGTAACCTCTGCATTTCTTTACTGTTTTTCCTATGGATGTTACGTTTATTAGTAGATTTTAAGTAATTGAAATTTTCATCTACACATTTTCACTCCCCAGTATACAACATGACAAGTTATTAAGCAAGAATTCTGTGTATGGCATTTTATTTTTATGTGGGGCAGCTTCACAGGTAGTGGCTCCAAAGTTATAGAATCACTTTAACTGCAGTATAAGGCTCCATCCTCTATCATTAACAGTAAATATAGGAGTTAGAAATGAAAAACAAACATGCAAAGCAACTTCAGTGTTTCTCCCATCCCAAGCATATCCCTTTTCTCACAGCATTTGAGACCTTGGCGTGAGATCTTACTCTGTTTTTTCCCTTAATTTTTAAGATTCACCAGCACAGAAGACTGACAAGAGCTCAATCCCATCATGGCTCTGAAGAAGAAAAAAAGAGAAGGAAAATCTTAGCACGAAAGGTAAACAACTTGCAGATAAGTACCTCACAATCACACAGAGCTGTGTATCTTTTTGAAGGGGTAGCATGAACTACCATGGGTATGCTGTTGCATTCTGCCCTGTGTTGTTTCTCTGTAATACTTTCTGATTGTTTTTCTTTCTATAGCTAGGTGGTACACTTCCTAAAAAGCATAGGTTATAACAGTAGATGACTTGCTAGGTTTAATTTATGGGAGCTTACTGTCTGAGAATGGGTGTAGTTAACATTTGACATGTAGATGGCAGCCTGCACTGCTTCCTTTTGCCTCTTGGAAGGCATGGGAGCCTTTTTCCAGGCTGCTCCTGCAGAATAGTTTCTGCATTTCTCTTCCTTTTCTATGGATCAGTTTTCTGCCTTTTCCTTACAAACAGCAGGCACTGAATTGCCCTGTATGTGTGGCTGGGCACATTTGTGCCTTGGGCACAGAGCTGCCTTGCTGCTGTTGTCCTTGCAGCAGCACATGTTGGGTGGCAGGGATGGGGATGTTGGGTGTTGGTGCTGGTGTGATGTAGTGGTCAGCGTTACAATTTTGTGTGTCAGAATCATGGAAAGAGGTTATTCATTCCCACTGACTGCTTCTTTTGCTTTGTTTAAAGAAGTCAAAACGTTCTGCATGTGAAAGTGGAGAAGAACACTCGGCAAAATACAGCAACTCAAATAACTCAGGTAACTACAGAGAGAAGAGGTTGCTTTTACAGAACTAATATAAATGCATAAAAATATACTAAATATGTAATTCCTTCTTTTGTGCCGCATTCCTTCCCTTGCCCCTCTAAAGTCAGTCATTTAAATCTGTTGATGACATTTGGATGGAAGGTTTTACGCTAATAACATTGCTTATTTGGGCCATTTAATACTTGAGACTTTAGAGAGCAACTCTTGTGATTTCTGTTCCTTGAGTGTTAAGCTGAAGGAGTAAATTACCTTTTTGGTTGCTGCTTAAATATTGAATTCTAAAACAACAGAGCCTGTGGCAAGTCTTCAGTTAATTTAAAGGAATGGTCTGTGCTACTGAACAGTTTAACAGAGCTGACATGCCTGGGTAGCATGTCCAAAGGCAGCCTGTTGTGGAATAGTCCAGTTATGGAGCACAGCAACTGACTGAGATCATCTCTTAGAAGGAGAAATGGGTTGCCATCCATGCAGTGGCACAACTCCTAAGGCGAACAGAATTTGGACGCGGAAATCCAACAGTCTAAGCAACAGAACAGAAGCGTTTCCTATTGAGGAATACTGTTGAGAATGCTTCTTATGTGTTTGTACCTCCTCTGATACTGTGTACTGCGAGGCTTCTGTGTTCAGAGTGGGTCTGAGTGATGCTGTTCACGTGAATGGGGATCTCCCCCTAGACTGCAGTGGAAGCAGGGTTGCACCTTCAGTCAATAAAGTCAGCCTGTTTCCAACAACCTGTCTTGTCTGACTGTGGTGAATTTTAGCATCGCAACTTTAGTTACTAGACTGTTGTTTTATTTAGCAGGCTCGGGGGCGAGTTCCCCATTAACATCTCCATCATCTCCCACTCCACCCTCTACAGCAGGTAAGTTCAAGAGCCATTGCAGTGTTTTGTCTTTTTCCTTAGCTTTTCCTTTTTGCTCTTTTTTGTCTAAAAGTGGGTCTTGTTCCCGAGAACAGCTAAGTGATGATGGTCTTCAAGGATGGAATACAGAGATAACACTTATCTTGTATCAACCTATGTTTCTTTTGAGGGCCAGAAAATCTTTTAATACACTTTGTTAGTAACCTTTCTTGTGGTAGACATGCATATGATCCATAGAGTCTTACATACTTGCTCTGAAGTCTCTATTGCTGCAGTCCTACTGGTGTTGCTGCTTGCCACGTGTTATCTGGGCCTCATTTTGCACTATGCATTTGTCCTGATGTTATGGTCTGTGCCCTCTCAAGTATTGTTTCTTGATCCCTTGTTTTTGTGTATTCTCTTGTACTGCTATGATGTCATATCAGGAGTTTTGTGTGACAAGCCAAGTGGCATATGTTTGGTAAATCTTGCCAGTTCCACTACAAGATTAACACTACTAGAACTGCTTATGCAGAGAGACAAGTCCAAGATATTTGGGTTAAGAATAATCTCTATTATTTTTGTCCTATTCCAGTTTGCAAGGTAGCTGTACAAACAGGTTTGTTAGCATTTAGCACAGGTGGTTGAAAGGAGGACACAATCTGCTTAAATGGGCATTGCCCAAAATAGAAATGCTCGTGAAACTGTAGTTTCATCACGTTATCTGAATGTTGAGCTGCTGTGCACAGGTTTCAGTTTGAAATGCTAGAAAAGGAGCACTGAAAAACATCAGAAGCAAAAGGTGTTAATGGATTGTGTTCCTAGAAGAGAAGCTGTCCGTAGCACTGTATGTTGTGATGACTCAGTCATGATTCATAGACCAAACAACTTTCTGCACAGAACAACTTGTTAACTTAAGTGATGCAATCAAATTTGTGTTTGTTGCAAGTGATTTTTCAAAGGACATGGCAATCTGTGCACTGTAATTCACATTAGTTGTGCTCTAACTCAAATTAGTCATTTCTCTTTTAAGTTACTTTTGAAGTACGTTGAAGGGTATATTTTAGGAACTGTCTTCTTCCAGTTACTCTAACCAAGATAATTACTGTCACTGCGTTGCACATAAACTGTTGGCTGGATGTACCAGCTCCTGGTTAAAGGGTACTTTCAAATTCTGTATTCCATAAAAAGGCAGTTTCTGCAAATGCAAAGGAAAACCCCATGTCTTCAAAATGGGTGTTTAGAAAACACATCTTTCCCCCTGAAAGAAGACACACGTAAAAGATAATTTTAGCTTTAATGTGCCTGTGAGTTTGATTGAAAGCTGTTGCAAGTTTTGAGCACATGATGCCGGTTTTGGTGTAGGGTTGGCCCAAATGTTTCAGTTTGGTCCCGATGTTAAACGATTTTGTCACAGTGCGTAGCTCATTCTGCTGCCAGTGTGCAGTGGTGACTGTTGGTGACTCGCTCCGTGTTTGGCACTGTGCAAATTGCCCTCCCTGACAGGGCTCTAGGGCACCGATGGCACTGGGGCTCTTGGCGAGGTGTGAAGGCACCTGCTGCTGTTTTAGCAGCACTTCTGTAAGTGGATTTCGAAGCAGAAACCTCAGGCTGGGCTGCCCTGGGTGAGAAAGCTTCATGCAGGGAGCTTTTCCAAAGCTCAGCCACTCTGCGTTTAAACAAAGTCCACAAGAGACTCGGCCTGCAGTGGAGTTCCTGGTGTGGTCAATGCAAAACATGCAAAGGAGAAAAAGGGTTGCAGGATGAAGGTGGCATTCAGTCAGTGTATGACCTACTTTGAGGGGAAATCTGCTAGAAGTGCAGACTCGCACTAGCTGACTGCAATATCTGTATTGAGTTTTTATTGATGAATTGCAAATGACCTAATCATAGCAGTGTTAATTCTGCTCTGGCTTAAAAGCCAGAAGACTCTGAATTACGGTCTTGAAAATGCCATGAAACTCATTCTCCTTTGTAGTTTGATAGGAAAGGGCATTGTGCTTGAGTTGTAGGACTTATAGGACATCTGAACTTCGAATGGCTACGTTATCTTGGCTACGTTATCTTTGTTTGTATGTTTGAGGGTTGATTATTTGATAGTAGATCCAATGCAGTACTGCTGGTAGTATCTCTAAACCGACCACTTGTTACCGTGTAACTCTTAAGTAATTATTTGGTATATGCCAAATACAAATTATAGTAGTGCCTTGTCTTAAATAGCACACATAGAGGACCTGAGTTGACTCCCGTACATGGACAGTTCACTGATCTGTAGCTTAATAGTGTTAGGATGGATGCTATAGGTGAACGGTGCCTTTTTTTTACTCTGTTGGTTTTAATTTTTATTTATGTATGACTTTCCAATCCATTGAAAGTGAGTATCAAAGATGGATACATCTCTTTTTTAGAATTATGAATTATGAATTTATGCCACAGCATGTTCTTTAGGAGCATTAGGATACTCTTCTGGTGGCGGTTTGAATTGGTACCCTGTGACCGCTAACTAATTGGGTGTTATCAGTCAGTATGGTCCGGGTGTCACAATATCAGTAAGTCTGAACGTTTGCAAACAAGAGACTGGTCAATGGACACTTCTCAGAAAGGACCAGATTTAGTGCAGAAGCTAGTTAAATTCCTTAAATTACATTTTTTGGGCCATTGCACATGGAGATTCTGATACCGTCATATGCTGGCTTCCTTCTCACCTTGAGCCCCCCAACTCACGTAGTTCTTCAGTTCTTGAAAACCTACTTTTTTCTGTGTGTGGCTCTGAGCTGTGCTAGAATCAGAAGGGATGCAGAACATGCTGGTAGGGGTTATAAAATATTTCACTGCCCCCTCTTTAAATTTGGTAAGCTCATAAAATACCAGTGAGCTTACAATAGGAGTTTGGCAACCAGCCCTTTCCTGAGTGAGGTAAATAGCTCCTGTGGCTTCATTGGGCTTCCCTGCAGGAAGAAAGGGAGAGTTGTACATAACTTTCTGTTTCTTTTTCTATGCCACTTGTTTTGAATTCTTCAGTACATATGTTTCATAGAGAGCCACACGATGCATCTTTTCTGCCCTTCACCTTTCTGTAAGACTATTTTCATGCTGCAGCAAGTGCTTTCCTGGGCGTCTCTGATCCGTGCTACATAAGTGTAAATGTAGGTGGTAACACTGCAGGAAGTGCTCCCTGAATGAATTTTGTCTTCTGGAGCTAATCTTCATGCAGATTTCTGGCTAAATAACTCTAAATGCACTTTAGTCTTGATTTCTGGCATGTGGAATTGAAAGCATGTGTGTTGTGTTTGTTCATCAAGTCTAAGTGTTTAAAGCATGGAAAATTGTGGTTCATTAGAATCAGAAAAGTGTTTTGTACATAATATAAAATAGTTGATCTACTGTCAATATGTTTTTCAGTAAATAAGAATGTGTTTCCCTTTTTTTGCACTGACTTTCCAGCTAACAGTTTCTGTTTTTCGTCCTCTGACCCGAGAACCAGATGATTAACTTGTGTCCTCTCTCTTTCTCTGCTGTCCTCAATAGAGCATGCATCATTTTGAACGTGAATTTTCGGAAAAGTAAGCTAATGCTGATTTATCTCTTTAAAGATGCTCTGTTTCTGTCTGGGAAAGTTGAATGCAAATCTTAAATTTGCTTATAGTATTGGGAGGGAACACAGGGAAAGGTCTGATCATTTTGATGGATTGTTTTAATGAAATACAGCATCTTTAAAAACTATCACTAAAATGATTTACTTTGCATCGCATTCACTCAGCAAAGTTTTTAATACTGTTTGCACAATTCCTGTCACTTTAAATTCATAATTAAGTTTTTGTTTCAATTCAGGCATCAAGTTTACAGCATCTGATATACTTCCTATTCCTTTTAACACATTCTCTTAACAAAAATGCCCCTGTAAAAAACCCTTGGTAAGTTCTTGTTTGAGTGTTTTATTCTTACAGGTGTGTGAATGAGTAGGTGTGTGATTGCCAGCAACCTTTTCCAACCTACGTATCAGGAAGGTGTAGTAATAACTGAGGACTTGTCTCGCATCCTTTTCCTAGCAAAAACAGGAAAATGTTTCACTGTTGAGCACAGAACAAGCTATTCTCTTAAGTAAGGAGTAAGGAGTTGTTTTTGCACCAAGTGCTGTCAAGATAGGAAGGACAGTTTGTTTCAGATTGATTAACATTAATGGACTTGAAGGATTTTCAGCATCATGGTCTTAACTAACAGATTCAGTACGTAATTGCTTAAAGCTAGTCGCATACCATCTCAAAACCTGTGTGTATTTATGCATTAAGGCAGAGCTCAGCTGTAAAACAGGATATCATTGCTTGTGATCAGTCACCCTACAGCAAGAGTTTTCCAGCTATATCATGTTGTTGGCAGCTCAGTTTCTCTAATATCTAATGTGAGAAATTCAGCAAATTTCAGGAAAGGCAGGTGGCATCTCCTCCCGCTCTGCTGTCCTTTCTGCCCCCATCCTGAAATAACCAGACCAAAATTCAAAAATAATACATGGTATCTTGGCCTAATAACATTCAACAGTCCGGTCAGTTGGATATACAGTGGCCATTTGCCTCTATTCATATTAAATACATACCTACCATCTTCCACACCCTGCGTGACTGTTGGATTTGTATTCTGGTTTGCCCATCATTTGCCTTGCTGTATATTGTACAACTGCTTTTATAGCCTCTTCAGTCTTACCTTGCTGTTCTTGCCCCAAAGCCTGTCTCAGTTCCTTGCAGCTTTTGCATCTCTTCCAAGCTGTCTCATTTGTGAATCGCTTTCTTAGCTCTTTTACAGCAATTCCCAAGTTGCTGCACCAGTGCTGTACGTGGGTCCTGCTCCCATGGGCAACTCGTGCTGTCCTGGGTCTTGTTCTTCCTTTGGCAACGAATCAAGTTGTGCTTTGCTGTGCTTTACTGGCAGTCCATGCACACGGGAGAAACACAAAGTCTCTAATCTAAGCAATGGTTTTCCTGTATATCTAATAATATATTGGCTCAGACCTTTCGCTAATGTAAGAAGGGTTTGGGTAAGGTAATGACCCCAATCTTTCAAAATGTGATTTGTTATTTTGGTTTGTGCTAACATTGGGTAATGTTTCGATTACTTAGGAGTCCACATGTAACAGGCATGCTAAACTCTTACCTAATCTCTGATATTTATAGTGGGATTTGAATTTTCTTCTTGAAGAGAGGAAAGAGAGTGAAGACTTGAGTCTGAATATACTTGTGTTTTGTCCTCACAGAGTAAGATTTTCATGCAGATGGAATTTCTCCTGAAGAATTAGAAGTGCTATAGTCATAGCTGTTGACGTAGATGGGCAAAACAGAATGCCCGTGTAAATACTCTGCATTTGGAGCTTCTCCTCCTACGGCAAAAGTCTCTCTAATGACTGATACAAACTGGAAATGAAGGAGCTTTGAAATGACTTCTATCTTAGATAACTGCTCTCTTAATTACAGCAAGTGTTTTTTAACTACTGCTACTATTACTCATTAGTCTGAGAGCAAGTGTAGTGAGAAACTGTGGGAGACGTGGAGCACAGAGAACAACTTTGCTGCTGTGTGTTTTCTGCGCGGTGTCTTTCATGGATTACCTCTGGAGTTCGTGTGCCACAACTTCCTTTAACTGCTGGGCATTTGCTTGCTTGGGAGCAAGGAGTCCTGCTGTGGTAACCAAGGTCTCTCGATTGGCCTGATGTTACTGTTAGACAACAGCGCAAAAGGCATAGTCTTTGTCACTTCATATATTCCCCTCTTTAGGGTAGAGCTGCCAAAAGCAAGTGTGACGCTATAGGTGCTGTTCTTCAGTCTAGTCTTACTGTGGAATAACTCTCAGAATCTAGATGAGGGAATTAAAATTCACTGTTCATTTAGTCATAAGAGCTTAATTGTTATGCTTTTGATCATTGCGGAATGGATTAGACCAGACAGGAGAATCACTTCCCATGCATGTGGCAATGTGCTGCAATGCCACTTTCATGTGAACGTTCTGTGGGACAGCAAGGGTCACCTCTGCAGCCCTTTGCTCTTGCTCTGTCCTGCACCTTCAGCTCCTTGTGCAGGAACACGGGTACAATGTGCAGTGCTGTGTTGCACAAGATTAAGGCTGTTTGGGAGACTGTGGCTGTACCCCAATGCTGGGATAGCTGCCTATGTGCATGGAGCCAAGGCAAGGAGAGGCAGCAAGGCAGAACAAGATGAGGAGCATGAGACAGGAGATGTGGATGGGCCTGGCACGAGTGTGGAGATAGGGTTTAAGGTAGAAAACAAGGGTGGGAGCGGAAAGGGAGCACAGGAGGCATGTGGTGCGAGTGGCAGATTGTTGTGATTCATTCAGTCTGTGAAAGGAGTTTGTGAGAGCACATTTGGAAAACATCTAGTACCGTGAAAGTGTAAAACATTCCCCTCTCCCTCCCTCCAAGCAAAAATCTTCTATCTGCAGTTAGCAATCTAAAGATGGAATAGAATCAGATCAAGCAGTCACCACCAATTCTGCAGCAGTGTGTTCCTTTGTAAGAGCAGCCAAGTTTGCCATGGAAATGCAAAGAGGTAAAAAGATTTGCTTCCAGTCTTTGTTATTGGTCGTAACCCAGGGAGCAAACTGCTTCACTGGGGCCAAACAAGAGCCGAGACAGGCTGTCCCCTTGAGGGATCTTCATTTCCCTCAGTGCAAGATCACGTTTTGTCATGTTTTGCATCGCTGTGTAGGGAGGCCCTTTGGTCTCCCAGCGGTGTCTCGGGTGACACAACTTGCCTGCAGATAGAGGGATTTGATCTCTTTGGCATTTTTCATCTGTTCTGTTCTCCACGCCCTGCTTGCGCTCAAGGAGTGACGTGAGCTGCCCTAGCCCAGCTGAGCGGCTGCAGACTCTGCAGCAGGGCCGCCTGCCAGAACCAAACTGCTTTTCTCTCCTCAACAGGAGCATCGTCCATCCCCCCTGCACCGCCACCGCCGCCCCTGCCGCCGGCAGCGCCGCCTCCGTGCGCCACGGTGCCAGCGCCGCCCAGCCCACAGCCCGCGGCCAGCGCAAGCCGAGGAGCCTTGCTCAGCTCCATTCGAAACTTTCAGAAAGGAACTTTGAAGAAAACAGACACGTGCGACTACAGCGCTCCCCGCATCAGCTGAGACTGCTGTCACCCCCCCGATGGGATTCGCCTTTCCCCTCCTGTGCTGTCCGGATCGAGCTCCTCCTAACCGGCCACGGCTCCACCAGCAGATCCCATCACCCTGTCGCTCTGTTTACCCCTATTTCAGCTCTCCTGGAGTAGCAGCACTGCCCTCGCCCATTTACATTGCCATGCTGTGGTATTAAGGAGCCCCTCGTTAAAGAACATTGTTCTCTAGCTAGTTTCAGGGATAAAGCAACTTCTCTGTAGCTGAATAAAAATCTGAGAATAGGAATGACCATGATCATGGTGAATTAATACAGTGTTTTTCTAGTTCTACCCCATCCCCTTTTTTTCAAAATACATGGATCTAACTTTAGTCAGCTCTTGCATTTGTTTCAACACTTCCATTCAGTTAATGCATATAATTCTTGCTGAATCAGCAAGGTTTTGTTTTAGATAATTAAAAAAAAAAAAAGCACCTAAAGTGTACTGCACAGGTGAGGGAACTGGAGAATTATATCTTATTACCACCATCTTTCTGGTGGAGTAAAAATGCTCTCTCATGACCTTTGTTTAAATGAGCATCCTACCTGTAACTCTAAGGGAAAGTGTTTTTAAATGAGGAAACAGTTGAAATGGGAGTTAATAGAGCACTGGGATATTATTCATGGTTTAATTAAATACAAGGTTAATTCAAGTGAATTTTACAGGTAAACTTTATTGAAAGATCCTTTTTTGATTTGCTTAAAACATTAAATAAATTGCACTTTAAAGGATTATAGATAATCCATTTTTAAATTCAAGTACATCAGTGTTTGTTACTATGCAGAGAATGTCTGTACAAAGTTTCATGTAACCTGTGATATTAGTCATTTTTATTAAAATGTTACTGGAATTGCTCCAGCAGAGTGGTGGTGGGTGCATTCAGCTAGGACTGCCCCTGCAAGCCTGACTTCCCAGGAATGGAACAGCCCTTCTACGAGTGGGGAATATGGTGAAAGCTTCACCCGGACAGCTCCTGGCCTGGAACTGCAATAGGACCTGAGCTCTTCTGCTGCTCATGCAGGTAAGCATCTCCTCCTCCCCTCCAGTTAAATGTATGTTAGCCATGCATTAGCCAAATGTGTAGCCATGACATGGAGCAAGCTGCACTGCACAGCTCCTGGAGGCAGCCTTTGCTCTTTACCAGAGCAGTAACAGGAGCTACTTAACAACAGTGTTCTGGAGGCTGCGTGTCAGGACTTGTCCCTAAGCTAAGCACAGGGGAGCTGAGCTGCCTGGAGGCGAGTGCAGCTGATCCCACCTGCCACATGAGGACTGGTAGCTGCTACAAGTGTAGGCCAAGGCTGTGCTGCTCTTCAGAGCCAGCCATACAGCATCGCCATAGAACGGCTTTTTATTGTAAGAACTGTAATTGAGAGTGCTGTGTGCATCTGTAGTAAGTTTAATAATGCATAAGTTTTGGCAACTCAAAATGCTTTATTGCTTTAGGTGGTAAATAGTGAAAAAAAGTTATTGTCCATCACATACCGAAGACGATCACTATCTTTATTTAAGCCACGCTGCAGAAGCTTTACTGCATGAGACTAGTTTTCTTCAAACTAAACAGGGTAGCCATCTCTAATACTTACCACAGACTTTTAAAACACCTTTGTCTAGATAGTTGCACTTAAGTTGTGATGCTGAAAAACAAGGCTCAACTCCACTCTGGTTTAATCATTCACCTTTAATAAGCCTTGCTCGCACAGGCCCCAGGAGCCCACTGCTCACTGCTGTTCTTTACCTGACCGCCTCCACAGTCACCTATATCGCCTCCAGTCTGATAATTACAAGACAGGCAAAAGCAGAGGGTTTAGTCACCCTCTGAATTCAGAATAGGATTTCTCCATATACTGTAACACCAATCCACTTGTACTGCTGAAGTACAAGCTCACTTACAAATAAGCATTAGTACATCATCACAGGGAAGTACGGCTTAGAGGATACCCCCATTACACACAGCCATATAAATATTCAGGGAGGTCATAATGTTTTTTCCACTGTACAAAAGTTCATGTAGCTATACAACAGTTAGGCATTCAGCTCGTCGTACAACATTAATGCTTTTTAAAGCAGTACTTTAAAATATGTATTTACAATTTAGATATTTAAGGTTTTCTTCACTGCAAATATTATATCCTTTACTTGAGGTATGCAGTTATCTTCTAGAATTTTTGCATAAGGCATAGGAACATCTGCACCTGTAACACGGACAGCTGGAGCATCCAGGTAGTTAAAGGCAGGTCCTGAAACAGAAGAGAGCTGTTAGTTTGCCAGATAGTGTAGCTCTCAATTCAATTTCTGAATCCTAAACAGTTTCATTCTTGCAGTTTTAATATTCCAGGGCTAGCTGTTCTTGACTTGCTTATCTTTATGCCCTAAGGGTTGGATGGAAAGCTACTATCCTGCTTATTATACAGTCAGGTTCTTGGGATAAAAGTTATCCCAAGTGGGTTAAGCAAGATGGCTAAACTCAAGTTCTTCAGATACAAGAGCCCATCTTTATCTTATTATCTGCATTTGGCTTTATCGAGCAATTCATGAAGAAGCCATCAGGATTCAGAGTAACCCATCAGATCAACAAGTATATTGCAAAACTTAAATACCTTCCATGATCCTGGCACAGATTTCAGCTCCTACTCCAAACTGTGGCCATCCTCCTTCTACAGTTACGAGATGGTTTGTCTTGACAACACTGGTTTCTATTGTCTCAATATCCATTGGTCGAATAGTACGTAGATTTATAACCTTAAAGAAAGTGAACAAATCAGTTCTATCCTCTTAAGCCTCTTGGTTACTACTGCTTGGGTACCATGTCCTCTGCCATTTTCAGCTGTTCTGACTTTAAGGATAAGATTTAAATGTCAACAAAATTATAAACTCTTTATCTCGACAGGCTTTTTACAGAATGATTTCTATTGGTTCCTGGAAAATCCCAGACACATCAGCCTTACTATATCTATATATATCGATACAATTATAGTGTACTGTTCCGCTTATGATCATACACAGCTTCAAACATTCTGCCTTAATTCTGTGATGAAAAGGTCAAATGCAGAAACACAAATTGCAGGCACCTAGCTCACTGATTCTGAACACATTTAAAAATATACAAAATCAATTCTTAAGACAGTTAAGCTTTGCAGGGCCTGAACAAGACACACTTTTTTTTTTTCTCCTTTTTCCCCCCCATCTGTGGAAAGGGAAAAGTAACCAAAAACTTTACACACCTCACACTCGACACCTTCCTTGGCAAGTACAGCAGCAGCCTCCAGACAGTGTCCCACGGGTCTCGAGTGGGACACTAATGTAACATGAGTGCCTAGAAGGGAAATAAGATGTGAATTTTTTCCTCTAACTTCCATACTCTTTCCAAGGTAATGTCAGGATCCCCTTGTAAATTGAAGTATTTGCCATTTCAGTTAAATATAAAGAATTCCACAGCCACAGCCTGGAAAATGGCAGTGGAAGGACTATGTCAAGACCAAATCTGCCTCCTTGAATTCAGGGAACTGAAAAGAGACTGAATTTACTTCTTAGGTTATTCCTTTTAAACCTTCAGATGTGAAATTATGAACAGCCTACAGCGCTTTTGGTCTTTTTGGAAAAAAAACAAACAAAAACTACTCCCCCAAATTTCTCAAGTGGAGAAAAAAAGCTTTTCAGACATTACCTAAGGCTGTATCCTTATATAGTAGTCTTTTAGAAAGCTACAGATTTCAATGGGACAATGAAAACCAAGTGACATTGCTTTATATAGGGAACAGAAAAATAGAGTCAGGATCCCATAGGATAAAACAACATTTAGCATTTGAAATGTTTTCCTGTTTTTTGTGAAAACAGTGCTTTAAGAAGGGTTAAAAACACACGCGCACACCCCAGACCTCTCTTTGAGCAGTTCAGTTAGTAAGGATACACTGGCTGTGTTCACATCTTACCTTGCCTTTCTACTTTGGCCTTTCCGATTGGAATAAGAAAATCCTTTGACTGTGCCTCTTCTGACATTTCAAAGGGAACCCCATACAGCAGTTCATTCTCCAGCATCACAACTAGAACAAAACCGGCTTGGATTAATTTGTAGTGCTACAGGCATGGAGGATGACAGTACTAGGGCAGACCAGCTCAACTAGGAGTTGAGTGTGTTGAGGGAAGGGCAATTTCAACTTTGACGTCACTACTGAATTATCTTAAAAACTTAAATCACTTGCTTAGAACCAGACTTAAGCAGAATCAAGCATTTAACTTATGGTACATGATGGTAATAAGTGTTAATACTAAACTTAAGGTGTTATGAGTTCTTTTAAAAAATTACAAAAACTGAGTTATGCAGACTAGTTTGATAAGGATAATTGACTTAAAGCCTCTGTTTTTACAGTGTTACCTTTTAAAGTTTATAGAACTGAGTGTACAGCTTGTGTACAACTAGATGGAATGAAAGTGGAGAGGGTCATGTTCTAGAAAACGCTTCTGCAGAATGGCTAGTTGTAAAATTAGGTCTTAGATGTTGCAGACATGCCTGTGAGAAAGGAAAGCAGAGGCTGCCCTGCTTTCAGTTAATGACAGGGTATTCTGAACATATCATCTGAATTTCAAGATCTATAAAAGCAAGTTATACACTCAGATGCTGTATATGCAGAACGTCTCCCTGACTGAGTTTTATCCTCTTAACTTCCTTTAAGATAGATTCATAAATGCTTCTTCCAAGCTTCCACGTTGGTACCAAATTAGGATTAAAGATAAATTAGCTGGCAACAACACAAAATTAAAGCCTACTGTAAGCAAGCCATGTGATTTACAACAAAAGAAGGATCAGAATCAATATCTCTGTGCCTTTGCAAGTACCTTAAAGGAAGAGTAAAGCAGCCTTAAGTGTTTAGGGTTTCAAACATTTTAAATGGGGTGCAAGGTGAAACATGAAGCGATGTTCTTTTGAAGAACTAACGGTAGCTATTGCCGCGATCTGAATGTGTTCACCTGGATTATCATCCCGGATGGAGGTTTTAAGCAGACCTTTGGCATCCTCCGAGCTCCACGGACTGACAACTTTCAGGCCTGGGCAGTGGCCATACCAAGCAGCGAAGCACTGCGAGTGCTGGGCAGCGACGCCGGCGGATGCCCCGTTGGGGCCCCTGAAGACGATGGGCACGGCGATGGATCCTGCGGACATGTAGCAGGTCTTGGCAGCGGAGTTTATGACCTGGTCTATGGCTTGCATGGAGAAGTTGAATGTCATGAATTCACACACTGGCCTCAGCCCAGCCTATTGAAGTCAGGATACATGTGAGTAGGGGGGTTAATGCAAAAGAGCTTATTTGAAAATTTAATTCAGCAGTAAAGAAACGTAAATTTACCAACCATAGCAGCACCAACAGCAATCCCCGTGAAGCCCATCTTAAACAGAAAAAAAGCCAGGGTCAGTGTCTGGGATCAGGGGGCACGAGGATCACCAGGGCTAGGTGAGGTGCGGCCGTACCTCCGATATGGGGGTGTCGATTATCCTCTTGTCCCCAAACTTCTTCCAGAGCCCCCGGGAGATCTGCAGGGGACGGGAGGGGTGAGGGGCGGCGCGGGGCCGGCCCCCGGCCCGCACGGGCGGCCGCTCACCTTGTAGGCGCCGTCGTACTGCGCCACCTCCTCGCCGAGCAGGAAGACGCGCTCGTCGCGCTCCAGCTCCTCGTCCAGCGCCTGGTTCAGCGCGTCGCGCACCGTCACCTGCGGCAGCGGCGCTCGGGCAGCCGGGGCAGCCCCCGCGCACCCCGGCACCCCCCAGAGGCGGCCGCCGCTCCAGCGGGGCCTCACCCCGAGCCGGGGCGGGGAATCCCCTCTCCCTTCCCGTCCCATCAGGGCCCCTCTCCCTCCCCGCCGGTACCTGTATGGCGGCGGGCGCGGAGAGCCGGATCCCCCTGCGCAGCTGGAGCAGCCGCCCGGCGGCGGGGCCCTGCGGAAGGCAGAGGTAAGAGGCGGCGGCGGCGGGGGGTCCCCGCCCCGCCCCGCCCGTGCCCACCTGCCGCCCGCTCGGCGCCAGGCGCCGCAGAGCCCTCGCTGCCGCCGCCGCCGCCATCTTGCCCGTGTCCTCTAGCGCCAACCGGGATGGGGCGGGAAGCGCTGCGCGCCACCGATGACGTCACGGCGCCGGCTCCACGGCAACCGCCGCACGCTCTCGCGAGAGCGGAGAGAGGCCGCCACTTCCGCTTCCCCGCAGCAACGGCTGCGCGGCCCGTTGGGGCCGAGGCTGGGGCCGCCCGTGCAGCTACGGGGCGGCGCGAGGGTCATATTGTTCGCGGGACCCGCACGCTCCGGGGGGCTTCCACCTCCGCTGCACCCGGCTCCTTGCCGCGGCCGGGGGCGGGGCCTCGCAGGAAGGGGGCGGAGCTTGCGCCAGGCCCCGCCCGCCGCGGCGGCGGCTCCGTTCCGCGCCCGCCCGGTCCCGCCGG